GAAATCCTTTCCCCTAGAGCTGGCATCCTGAATTTGTTCTTCTAGCCTCTTAAACAATGAGAGAATAAATTTCTGTTTGGTATAGCCAGCAACTAGTGGAATTTCTGTTATAACAACACTAGGTAACTAAGATAACCAATAAAAATAAAAGAACAAAAACCACCCAATGCCACAGAGTTGATTCTAACTCACACTGACTGTGTTGAGTTTCCAAGACTGATAATGTTTACAGGAGCACATAGCCTCATCTTTCTCCTATAGATCAGCTCATGGTTTTGAGCTTGTGATTAGCTATTCAATACGGATCCCTCAGTTTAGGATACTATAAAATAGTCCTTGTAACCTTTTGAATTGACCTCTCTGTCTTTAATAGACCCAGCACATCTTTGGCAAAGCAACTGTTCTGATTAACCCTATGGACAACAGAAAGAAACATGGCCAGGTGCTGCAACACCCTCAAACTTCTTGTTAAGTTTGATCCGATTTTTGTGTCACTGTGTCAATTCATTTTGTTGGGGGTCTTCTTCATTTTTACTGAACCTCCATATCACCAAACATGATGTCCTTCTCCAAGGAGTGGTCCTTTATGACAATATGTGAAATGATGAGAGACAAAGTCTTGACATCCTGGTTTCTAAGGAGCATTATGGTTGTACTACCGGCATAGATTAACTGTTGTTTTGGCAGTCTATCATACTTTTAATATTCTTTTCCAACACCATAATTCAAATGCATAAATTCTTATGCACTTTTTCTTATTCATTGTTGGTAGAATATTCAATTTCATCATGGCTGGCTGTAGTATTTGGTACATACATTTGAATAATAGTGGTATTAACTGGTCTTCCTTTTAGGCAACTGCAAATTATCCTATCATAGACAGCAGTGTACTCCAGGACACATCTTGAAATGTTCATTATTATGATAAATGAAACACCATTACTCTTCAATTTGTTGTTTTCACCATAGTAAATCATAAGATTGTCAGATTCAAAATGGCCAATAACAGTCATTCAGCTAAGTAATACCCAGGGGATCAATCTTTATGCATTCCATTTTATTTGGACAACTTCCATTTGTCCTAAATTAATACTGCCTACATTCCATGTTAGGAGCTCTGCATGTTATGATTTTTAATGGATATTTACAGCTGTTTCTCCTCATTTTCAGTTGTGCCCTGTGAGCAAACGAAGGTCCCAAAAACTTTGTTCCATTCAGGTCATTATGGTCAACTCTACTTTGAAGGGGAGACAATTCATCTTTCAGCACTATGTACGACAATGTTCCACCGGTATTCATAAGCTTCTCAGTGGGTAAACATTCAGAAATAGTCCACTTCTCCTTCTTCCTAGTATGTCTTAGTCTGGGACCTCTGCTGAAACCTGTCTACCATGATGAACCACTGGTGTTTAAAGTATCAGGGGCAAAACTTCCAGCATCACAGTAACATGCAAACTATCACAGTATGACAAACTTACAGAAGAGTGGTAGAGAATGTTAATATTAGCATATGAGGGCAAATTCTGGAAAAATGGGGGGCTATGCAGCCACACCACAAGAACCCTCTACAACAAAGATACGAGAGACCAAATGAAACACACACAGATGGAAATCCTGGAACACTGAACTTCAGAGGAAAACTTTGAGACATGTATTGAGTGCTTGATAGGAGAAGAAGCTGAGCAGGGATGGTGAGCGAGGAAGACTGCTAAATGGCCATCCAGACTCAGCATGACCATTTTGAACTTTTGTGAGCAGCTTTCTCCTGTACTTTTTACTATCCATTTTTCTTATCACATGCATACTCTTTCAAATGCTTTCACTTTGGCTCACATCTTCTACAACTATAGTGTCTTTGAGTATCATTGTTTCACATCTAAGTAATCACAATAACTTCTTAACTGATCTTGCTGCTTTCCACTTATACCCACTCCAATCTTTTCCATACTGATGTCAAATACTGATCAGAAGAACTTTACTACTATTTTAAAGAACAATTATCCCAATATTTTGCTGTTGTTGTGTGCAGCCAAGTAGACTCATAGGAAACCTCCATGGCAGAGTGGAGTAGAACTGCCTGACAAGGATTTCTAGGCTGTACTCTTTATCGGAGCAGATCACCAGGTCTTTACCTAGAGGAAAGTCTGCTGTGTTGAAACCACTAGCCTTTTTTAGCAGCCAAGCATTTAATAAGCTTATCAGTATGCCTAGTCTCTAATTACCTCTTCTTTCTCATCCCATTTCTATTCTTTTTCTTACTCAAGTTCTAGGATCCAGTTATCCTAAGATTCTAACAATTCCTCAATAAATACTCTTGTTTCTGAGATTTTGCTAATTCTATTTCCTGGCCTGGATCACCTTCTCTCACCTGACTGACCTGTGTCATCCTTCTTCTGAGAATTCTACTCTAGAAACTTATGTGCAATGAGGCACCTCTCCTGTAAATTTCCCATCTTCACCTTTTCAGGAAAGAACTAATTAGATTGTACTTTATTTTCTTATTTCTGTTTCAAAAGGAATATGACCTCTCTGTGGCCAGAGACCATATCCAATTTGTTTCTAATTATCTTCTCCAGTGATTAGTATACAGTAATGGTTTCATTAAAGTTTAAAAAATAATTCGGTAATAAATGGCTTTTTTGAAGCAATAAAAGAAAATCATTTTAAAATAATACAGGTTAGAAGAATACAAGCAAAGCTCTCACTAGTTTTAATCTTAGATTAAATGAACATTATCATTAAATTAATCCATATGCTTAAGCTACATGCTCCACATTTATAAACACATATCTGTCCCTTAAATAACATATCAGTTTTGCAAAGCATCTATACTATTTATTTATTTTTCATAGAATTCCTCATGAATGTGGTTCTACAGTGTGGTAAACAGTAAAATTCATATGTTAATTAATTTCTATATGTCAGTTAAGGAATTGGCCCATTTGTTTTACATAATTTAAAACTGACATGGAAGTTTTGCTTATCAATTATCTTCCTGTTAATAATGAAAATATGCAAGAACTATAGGCATAAAATTAAATTATAGTATCACAAGATTGATTATCTCTTAGCTGAAATATGAAAATGATTTTTCTACAATTTAATGTGCAGGTACCTCTCCATTGTACTTTTTGTAAGTAATATAAATATACTTGCATTTAGAAAGACCAGAAGGTTTTAAATGAGAATTGCCCATTTATTTCATTGCTATTAATCACATGATATCTTTTGAAAGAAAAAAGTATCATACTTCTAGTACTGTTGGAAATTAGCCAGTCTATGTGGTAGCAACATTTACTTTTAGAAATGCATCTTTCCTGTAGAAATCTGAATTTTTAAAAATGTAAAAACACAAACGCATGTGCATTTCACATGCATACATAATACAGTTTTAAAAGGTATTGATGTAAATAAGGATTCAACTTAAATAAGTATCCCAGAAATGAGTTAATGAATATTAATATTAGAGAGAAGCTTTAGTCATTTTTTTAGACACATGGAAGAAGCAGAAAATTAGATAGATAGATATAGATATATTTGTGAACAAAATATAATTTATTACAGTTTGATCTGAGTATCAAATCATTAAGATATAAAAGGTTTTAAATACAGCATTAAATTCCAACATTTATTACATGTATTTTTGAATACTAAACCTGGATTATAAGAAAACTATTACCTCCCAAAAATAGAAAAAAAAAATTGCATCATTTCTCCTATTTTATCTTAGAAAATTTGATCTTCAGAGTGAGAAAACTCCTTTTTTATTAAGAAATGTCTACAGAATCCATCCAGTTGAATCCAAGAATTCACCCCTCCATCATACATAATAGATTATGCACTTCCTATTTCCTGTGATTCTTAACTAATTTTTTTCTTGCTTGTACTTGATGCTAATTCTGCAAAAAAAGGTTTTATATTTTGTCAATTAGAACATACGACATTTTTGAGAATGAATTACCTAATCTTCCCCTATACACTAAAGAGAAAGTTTCCTATACTGTCATTAGAAACCACAGTAAACAATTACAACTTCTCAATAATTTATTAGAGTTCTGGTGTGGAGTTATACGGTAAGCTGGTACTGTTAACTACAAGGTTGGCAGTTCAAACCCACTAGTAGCTCTTTGAAAACCCTGTATTTGGTCGCTATGAGTCAGAACTGACTCAGCAGCATAAACAACAACAAATAATTTACTATATAAAAATGGTTTTTAAGTCTCTATTTAAGTCTCAAAAGTCTCTATGTGAAACCTCAATTATTAAAAAACCCATCATATCTCTGTCAATTAATAGAAAAGGAGTTAGCAAGCCATATAGCAGCTTACTAACAACACAGTGGAGACAATTTATTCTTTGCAACCAAGTTTCAAATACCTACTACTGAAAATTTTAATTCATATATATATATATATATATATATATATATATATATATACCACCGATCAGTTAAGATCCAATTCTAAAATTTAAATGACAAATATTCTTTTTATATTGGCATTGGAAATCAACAACAGACTATAAAATCTTGCAGTCAATTATTAAAAACTATTAAAGAACCCTGCTAATATGCCCACACTCATTAAACTAAAAGAGAAAAAATACTATCCTTATTTATGAATTTGAGTTCCAGAAATGTGTTTATACAATAAAACCTATGAATCATGGAACCTATAATATTCAGCAGGTAAATCAGAGAAGCAAATCTCTTATGATTTTCCACTAATAGTGATAGAAAAGTGGCAGGACTGCACCCTGTTAAAAAGGAAAACTTTGGGAGATCCTGAAAACCAAGGCAGTCTTGTTAATTTCCACTTCTTACAGGTTTACTGTATTTATAGCAACGGTGTTCCAGAGTTTTCTCTTGTCTTACTCTACAAGCACTGACTTTGAACTGTATTTGTCACTTGCCAGTATGGAGAGAGACAAGTAAGTAGTTGAATAAACTGGAATATAACACTCAAGCACAATCATGCCAGTGTGTTTGTATGGTGCAATACCTGGACATCTATACAGCTTTCTTGCCTGTGCAATATCTCCTTTGCTTAAGCGGGTTCGTTGACCAATTGCTGGACGTATGCCATTGTCATCACGAGATGGGAGAATGGTGTCCAGAAACATCCCTCTGTAAAAACACCAGAAGCCAGCCAAACGTAAGTTACCAAATTACAACTCACTCATATGTTCCTTACAAATATAAGATGTAACTTCACAAAGTCTAAGGGGAAATATACCACTGATGAGTTTTAAGTTGTGTGTCAGGGTTTCAAAACACAGTAACCAAAGTAAAGACAAAAAACACAAAACATGTCTGTGTTAAATGTGTGTCTTGGCACTGTGAGTTAATGTGCTGGACTGCAAAGTTGGTTTGAACTACAAGGTCACCAGTTCAAGCTCACCAGTTGCTCCTCAGAAACCCTATACAGAGTCACTATAGTTCGAAACCAACTCAATGGGACTTAACAACAACAAAAATAATAACAAGCAAAAACATAATAATTATATTCACTTTTTCCTTAGAAATTAAATGTTTAAAAAATAATTGAAATAGTACATAATCCAGTAACATTTATACCATTGCTTTTGTTTTGGTTTCGGTCTCCTGAGCAGAACCAAGAGATTTTAGTTAGCAAGTTGTAGAACAGTTCATTTTTATATAGCTCTATTTGCTTAAGAACAACTTACAAAAAATATTTTATTTTACTAAAATTTTTAAAAGTAAATGCAACATATGTAAAGAAAATTTTTAGTTAAGCTACTAATTTTACCTATCCTTAGAAGTCCAAGTGTTGCAACATTGTTAAAAAGAACAAGGAAAAACAGTGTGCCAAAATTTAGACAGGACAGTTTAAATAAGAACAGTTTTACTTTGACACACATATATAGATGAAGAGAAAGAAAAACACAGTTGTATATAATAAATATAAATACAGTTCATGACAAAATTAACAAATAGTAAAAATTAAGCAATAATAATAATATGCAAAGAATTGAGTTGTTTTGGTCCTAATGTTATGCAATATCTCACTATTTTTATTAATATGCATGACTTGAAGTCCTAAAGAAGTATTCTAAAGATACTCTTATTTTGCAGTGTATACCTGACATCTATATCTCTAAAGAAAGTCCTGAGCTTAAAAGCTATATAGACTGAAAACTTAAATGGACTTCATATTGGTAGAAAGATTAGGGTGTGGCCCTGTGGATTTTTGTTTTAATTCCTCAAACAAAGGTCTCTATAAAAATGTTTAAAATTAAGAAAGAAAAGTTTTTAAAATCCTTTAACTTGGGATAAATGGTAAAGCATTTCTTTCCAAAATTTGTATATTACTAACTTATATTTAAACTGGATTTTCAAGGAACAATTTTAGCTCTATTCCTTCCTTTGGAAAATATTTACTAAGCACTGTTATACGTTTAGATTTATAGTAATAAATTAAACAAACAGAAATCCCTCACATTCTAATATGGAGAAGAAGACATTAAACAAAGACTGATAACTCAAGTAGTGACAGGTAACATGGAGAGATATAAAGAAGATGGACATCAATTGTACAGTTATGGGATAGCTTTTAAATAGGATGATCAAAGAAAAACTCACTTAGAAGTTGACATTTTAGGCAAACAGGAAGGAGGTGAAGAACAGAGGAATGTGGGTCACTGGAAGTTGAGTATTCTCAGAGACAAATAACAAGAAATGCAACAGCCTAGTTGTTGGAGAACCCCTACAGTATTTGAGCACTCCCCAGAGAATTTTACCCTGAGTACAACTGTTAATCTATTGTAAAATTATAAACAGAGTAGTGATGTAATTTATGCCAGTCTTCCTGATGATCACTAGATATACAGACAGGAACACTGGAATACTTTAAAACCAATCTAAGCATCTACAGAGCTCCCTGTGTGAACAGCCTTGAGACTACAAAGGTGAAAATGAATGACGGATGAGAAGTTAGCAACAAAATTGAGAGCTTGAACATCCTTAATAGGATGAAGCTCCAGCTAGGACAATGAAACTGAAAGAAGATGTTTAGCTATATAGTTTGTCTATCTGTCTGTCTGTGTGCTGATGGGTCAGTTCTGACTCATGGCAACCTTGTATAGGTTTTCAAAGAATGACTGATAGGTTTGGCCATCAACTTTTGGTTAGCTGTCTAGTACTCATCCTTTGCAATACACCAGGTCTATACAGCAGAAATAAGAAAAGCCAGTTTCCTGATGTTGTTTTATTATTGTCTTTAGAAGCCATGAAGTCAGTTCTGACTCACTGTGATTCTATATACAACATAATAAAACAGTGCTCAGTCTGGTGCCATCTTCACAGTTGTTACGTTTGACCTACTGTTGCTGGCACTGAGTCAATCCATCTCATTGGGCTCTTTCTCTTTTTCATGGAGCTTCCACTTTACCAAGCATGGTGTCCTTGCTCTAGGAACTGGTCCTTCCTGTTAACATGACACGTCTTTAGTATGAGATAAAGTCTATCCATCTTAAAAGGAGCATTCTGGTTGTACTTCTTCTAAGACTTTTGTTTGTTCTTCTGGCAGTCCATGGTTCTTTTAATATTCTTCACCAACACCATAATTCAAATGCATAGACTCTTCTATAGTCTTTCTTATACATTGTTTAACTTTCAAATGCATATAACAGTACTGAAAAATACTATGGCTTGGGTCTGGCACACTCTAGTCCTCAAATGGATATCTTGGATATTGAACATTTTAATGAGGTCTTCTGCACTTTATTGTTAAGTGCCATCGAGTAGGTTCCAACTCATATAAACCCTGTGTAGGGTTTCTAAGGAGCAGCTGGTGGGCTTGAAATAGACCTTGGGGCTAGCAGTCCAGTGCTTATCCTACAGCACCACATTTTTGCATTTTTAAGAGGTCTTTTCTCCACTATCAATATTTAGCAGGCAAGACTAATTTAACGAAGTGCTACAATTTCTGCATTATTTCAGTCAGTAATAATGAAGTATTAACTACTTTCTATTTCTAACAATAAATTATACTCTTGGGAAAGGTTTCATTTTCCAACTGATGTACATTCTCTTCCATCCCACCAGCAGAAGCCAATCACGTATTCCTTTAGTTCTTTGTGTTCAGGGAGTTCACAGTTTTCTCCTTCTCACATCACAGCCATAAAATAATGAGGCTCTTCCAGGAACTCTTCAGTGAGGTACTACCAGTAGACCAGAGACTGATCATATTGCATTCACATTAAAAAAGCAAATTAGCTATGCTTTTTCAGAAACCAAAACATTGTACAATGATTTTTATTACTGAAAAAAATTTCATACCTAGTTTGCAAGCACTCATCCAACACAATATTGGTGCAGACAGAAAACAAGGGCCTATGCATCCAGCCCTATTGTTCCCACAAGTGATTTCTTAACTCTGCTGACAGGCTAGTTTTATGAAAACAAATGGAACTTTATAGACTCTGTGGGTTCAAAATAAAAGAAACCATAAACTTCAAATACTTTGGGATGGGGGTGGTGGTGGTACTGAGAACTATGAAAAATATTTCCTTATACTCAGTCATTTACATTCGCATATGAGTTAGATCTGAATGGTTTAAAATTAGGAAAGCTGTGCGAAAGGATTGTATTCTTTCATCATACTTATTCAACCTGTATGCTGAGTGAATAATCCGAAAAGCTGGGTTATATGAAGAAAAACATGGCATCAGGATTGGAGGAAGACTCATTAATTGGAGGAAGATCTCTTAAAAATGTAAAAAAAAAAAACCCTCAACCTGCAATATGCGCTGATACAATCTTGCTTGAAAAAAGTGAAGAGGACTTAAAATAGTTACTGATGAAGATCAAAGACCATAGCCTTTGGTATGGATTGCATCGCAATGTAAAGAAAACAAAAATCCTCACCACTGGACCAATAAACAATATGCTTATCAATGGAGAAAAGATTAAAGTTGTCAAAGACTTCATTTTTGTTGAATCAACCATCAATATTCACAGAATCAGCAGACAAGAAAGCAAACGACATATTTCATTAAGCAAATCTGCTGCACAAGACCTCTTTGAAGTGTTGAAGAGCAAAGATGTCAGCTTGAGGACTAAGGTATGCCTGACCCAAGCCATGGTATTTTCAATAACCTCATATGCTTGCGAAAGCTGGACAGTGAATAAGGAAGACCGTAGATGAATTGATGCATTTAAATTATGGCATTGGAGGACAATATTAAAAGTGCCATGGGCGGCCAAAAGAACCAATAGATCTGTGTTGGAGGAAGTGCAGCCAGAGTGCTCCTTGGAGGCCAGGATGGCCAGACTTCATCTCTCATACTTCAGACATACTGTCAGGAGGGATCAGTCACTGGAGAAGGATATCATGTTTGGTAAGGTGGAGGGTCAGAGTAAAAGAGGAAGTCCCCCAGCAAGATCGATTAGCAAAGTGGCAACATCAAGGAGCGCAAGTGTGGCAACAATTGTGAGATTAGCCTAGGACTGGCAGTGTTTCATTGCATAGGATCACTATGAGTCGATAGTGACTCAATGGCACCTAACAACAACAACAACATGAGTCAGAGCTGTGTATGAGTTAATAGAGTTACTGGTGTGACACTATAGGATAAGTACTGAACTACTAACCACAGTTGTTCAAATTCACCAACTGCTCCTTGGAAACCCTATGTAGGGTTGCTATACATTCAAATGAATTAACGGCACTTAACAACAATAACATGAGTTAATGAACATTTTCTGTGAAGCCCTGGTAGCAAAGTGGTTAAGTATTCAGCTGCTAACCTAAAAGTCAGTGGTTAAAAGAACAAACAAGTTGCTTGCCCAGGAAACATCAAGGCAAGTGGTCGGGTCCCCTCAGTGCAAACCCCCTTCCAAGACTAAGACTCAATGGGAATACACGCTCTGATTGGTGACCACACTTGTCACCAATAAAGGGAAGTGAGGGAAAAACAACATGAAGTGGTGAACTAAGCCCTACAATGTGGAGAGCGAAGCGTTCAGCTGATAAAAAGAGAGGGCATATGCACAAGAACACCCACACTTGCAGATAATACCCACTTGACCTGGCTTCAATGACCGGATGATAAGAGCTCAACCAGAAGAAGAAAGAAGAGGAAAAAAAGAGTAATCTGATGCAATTTGATGAACTTGACCTACACCTATGGAAGCAGTAGCTCAAATGAGGGAACAAATTCTTACAAGAATCATTCCCACCCCCTCCACACAGAGTAGACAGGGATGGGCAACTTGGACACTGGCCACCCAAAATGAGGGGTGCCTACAAAGGCAAGAAGTGACTGGCTTACACGCTTTCAAGAGGGAACCTAGAGCCAGGGGGCCTTGAGGAAGGCAGAATCACCAGTGAGTAGTATCCAATCTGCCTAGGCGGAGCTGATGAAATGAAATACAGATGGATCTCTCGTGATACAATAGTGAATAATTGTTATCAGGACTGATTGTGAACGTTGGAAATGTAAAGGCAGACATTTTATAGCAAGGAAGGGAGGGAATAACTTTTCAGTCTAGGAGCGGAGGTCCCTAGGACCATCAACGGAGAAGAGTCGAGAGCGGGAACCTACCCAGAGAAGCAGTGATGCCCGAGATGGAGGCAGAGACAATGACGTGGAGCAATGGAGCAGCTGGAGACTTTAGATCCAGAGACGGAGAACGACTGTGTGCTGAAGACTGGGGTGGGGTAGGGAGGATAGAGTAGGAGCAGGCTTGCAGGGTATACCCTTTGGTGGGTTGATGATGCATGGAAGGGATTGTAACCATGGCAATGATACGATGTATGACAGAATGAATGTAAAACTAATGTTCTCCCATGTAAACTATCATATAATTCACAATAAAACATTAAAAAAAAGCAAAGATGTCACTCTGATGACTAAGGTATTATTCCTGACTGAAGCCATGGTATTGTCACTTAATTGACTACAGAGTTATTTTTATTTAAAAAAATACTAAATGTTTGCTAAAATGTTAAAAAATAAAAAATTAAATAAATTTTTTAAAAAAGTCAGTGGTTCAACCTGATTCAGTCTGATTCTGTAAAGATTTGTCATGAAAACTCTGTGGGGCAGTTCTATTCTGTCCTATTTTTGTTGTTAAGTGCCATCGAATTGGTTCCAACTCATAGCAAGCCTGTATAGGGTTTGAACCTCTGACCTTGTGGTTGCTGCCCAGTGCTGACCCTACAGCGCCTCACCAGGAGTCCTGTCCTGTAAGGTTTTCATAAATTGGAATTGACTGGATAGTAATGGGTTAAAGACTCAAAACAATCAGACAGTGTGTATTGGATCAAGCAGACTACTATCCTTTTAGCTTAAATAAGGTCACTCACTGCTGATCTATAAAACTAGAAAAAACTGATAATGGAATTTGAAACATGAGCTAGGATAATAGGCAATGTTGATTGCTATGCAACACAAAGGTGGATATGAGAGGAGATGGAGTACAAGCAGAAATAGCTAAGTAGTTTGTGGGGAAAGAAGCAATCTAGTGTGTAAAGGCAATACTGGGTAATGGGAATTCTACATTTTGAACTTTTCTATACATGATGAAGAATAGAAAAAAACCAAATGATTATTTTTCACCTTCTTCCCCAGTATCTCCTCTGTCCCAAGGAATCAAAACTCAAGCTAGCTCTGAATAATATAATTAGGCAGCACTTCAGCAGCAATGGGACTAAAATCCCCATTTGCCACATACTTCTAAGAAAAACTGAAATCCAACCATTGACCTATAAATGCTGTTTTGTAACTCTTTAAAATTAACTTCAAGACAAATATCTGGGTATATTTCTGTGAAAACTTAAATTCTAACTTCATAAAAAATATTTAAATGGCTATTATATTTTCCATGATCTTTTTGAAGCCACCTAAAATACTGTATATACTTTAAGAGGAAATATTTTTAAAATACAGTTAACATTATTTTTTTTAAAAAGATAAAATTTGGCCATAAGAAAAGCGTTAGTTACAAACGTGTTCAAGTATTCAGAACTCATTTAAATGTTTATTGCTCTACGTTTAATATTTTTTAAAGCAGTAAAATTAAGTTGAGTTTTTTCTCTTTTTCCCTCCTCTGCCTCTATGCCGTTAAGTGATGTCTAGTCAGTTCTGACTCATAAAGGCTCTGTATAGGATTTCTAAGAAGCGACTAATTGATAGGAAACACTGACCTTGTGGTCAGAGTGCAGCACTTACCCTACAGCACCATACCAGAATTCTGTAAACAGATGTCAATGAGCTAATGAGTTGTGGAATGGACATAAACAGCAAAATGAATGAGTTAGAGTGGGCATATGAGAGCCAAAGGGCAGAAAATGGGGCATAGGAAGATGAGTTCAATGGTTCCACCGTCATAAATTTCTTACCTGGCAACTATTTGTTTGATGGTATCATCTTAAGAATAAAGTACCTCAAAACTGAAATCAATTACACTCTCAAAAACATAGCAATCAGTCAGTAGTGAAATATTTTCTGTTTTAATAAGAAGTGAAATATACTACGGGAAGCAAATTTTTCTAACATGTTTTTTTGACAATTATTTAGTAACACTGGTTTTTGAACATGGTTGGTACTTAAGCAATAGAAAATACACAGTATAGAACACAAGCTGCTTAGAGAATATCACATTCCTTTCAACAACCAAGTTCCCTGTGTGACGTATAAATACCTACTAAACACTATTTTGTAAATTTAGCATTTTAATGGTTTGACAATTATGTTCATTGAACCTTTTATGATGCAGAAATAGGGAATAACTCAATCAATCCATACCATTTTAATTCTCAAAAATGCATTTATATGTTTCATAGAAAAATAGGAAAATACATTTTGAAATCTTTTTAATGTGTGATACATACAACAAATGCTAATCAAGCATTTTTCCACTTCATTTCTGCCAAGAGATAGCAGTATTTAAAGTGGCTTCAGTTCTAATGCCAAACACAACTTTGTGAGTAGCCACATGGAGGAAAGGAATTAAAAGTCAAAACGTATAACCTGAGACTCCAACCTTGAGAAGGTGTTCCTAGCATAGTGCATGATACTGTCAAAATCATATCTTTCTCCAAGTGAGTTCACTTCTCCAGGTTCCATCTTCAGAAAATTATATTCTTGGCCTAAGAATCAATAATAAAAAACAGTTTAGAATGAAGCTTTTGAACAGAGAGAAAAGAAAACAAAAGAGTCTTTCATAGGCCTATATCTGTACTTTACTAAATGAGTGATCTTCATCCTGGCTCTAGTTACATATTACTAAGCTATAAAAAGCATATACCTAGAACCATGGTTTACTTTAAAAGTATACTGAAAGGCAATAATGTATTTCATCAATATTTTATTAATTTCTGCAAAAAATCGACTACCAAAAGTATACTTCAGGTTGGTTTTCTAAGTGTATTCTTTTACTGTCTCATAAAATTTGCTTATTATTTTCCTGCTATTTGCAATGATTTTTTGGAAGTTCCATTTTTACCGGATGACTTTCCATTTTTCACTTATATCTACATTAGCCAGGAACAACACAAAAATATTTTACTATTTATATTAGAGTCTATAAAATATTAGGAAAAGGGCTATTAGCATATGCCTATGTTCCACACTGGAGAGTTGGTGTGGTGCTGTGGGTTAATGTGCTGGACTGCAAAGTCAGTTTAAACTGTATGATTAGCAGTTCAAGTTCACCAGCTGCTTCTTGGAAACCCTATGCAGACTCACTATAGGCTGGAACTGACTAGACGGCACTTAATAACAATAACGTGTTCCACACTACTAACCAAAAGGTTGGTGGTTCAAACCTATCCAGAGATGCCTCAAAATAAAGGCACAGTGAACTGTTTCCAAAGGACAAAACTTTATAAACACTATAGAGTACTGTTCTATTCTGCACATATGTAGTCATCATGAGTCAAAATCAACTAGATAATAACTAGCAACAACTTTAACATATGCACACAGAAATCTTCAGGTTTATCTATGTGACTTCATGACTAAAGATAAAACTACAGCAAATCTTTTACATTCATTTTAAAACTGAAACAAAATACCTCGTAACAAAAAAGAGATTCAACTTTATGGGATTTTAGATTAAGAAGGATATGGTTCAGAATTTAATTGGCATTTTGTTAAATTTCAATACCTGTTATTTTAAACTACTGACAATTTTTCATTTTCAATCGGTTTCTAACCTGGTTGTTTATTTCTATATTTTAATATTATTCCTTGAAATTTAAAAGGACCATGGAATTTAAATATATAAATTTACATCAATAGCTCCACAGGAAGACAATTTCCTCTACTCCCATTAAGGTTTCAATGTCTCAGTCTTTATAACTTAAGTAACCAAAGATAGTGCATCTCATTCATGTAACTTAAAAAGCTTTGAAACATCAAATCTGAAAGTGAACTATTAGAATTTAAAATCCAAGGCTGGAGCTCAAAGTAGAACTATTACAGCACTCATGCAACTGGATTTTCCTTCCAATTGCCATATTACTACTTCATGTAAAAAATAATAATAATAATATGAATGAGGGGGTTTTCAAAAGACCAACAAAGAAATTGAGTATTGCTACAAAGTAAGTCTTTCATATGACAAGGAAACTTGTTATCTTCATTTGGGTATTAAGCATGAGAGAATCCAGCTGGAGTTACAGAACTCAAGGCCCAGACTAAAATGTTTTAGTGTATCACTGAATGAATGTACACAATAAAATGTTTTTAATAAACTAAGCTAATCATCCTATTGGTAAAGCATGTGCATTCAAACCTTTGGTATGAGTTTCTATATTACAACAATTCTCAGGAAATACTTTTCATCCTCTTCAACACTGGTAGAAGCAACTCACATCTTCACAAATATACAAAGTATTATGCATAACAGAAGTTTATTGATCATTTCAATGGTGAGATCCTTCAAAAAGCTTGCATAGTTATTCACAGCTTTGGAAACTGTGAGCACTTCTACTGTATTCCATAGGTTCTCTATCTGTATAATTTAGCCAAATAGCAAGAGGTTTGGTTGTTTTTCTGTTTTGTTTTGGTTTTTGGCACAACATTCCACATGATTGAATTGTTGTTGTTGTTGCTGGTAAGTGCCATCGAGTCAGTCTTCGATCATTGTGACCCTGTATAGGCTTTACAAGGGTTTTCTGAGGCATGGCCAGTGAGTTTCAAGTGCCAATTTTGCAGTTCAAACTGATCTTGCAGTCCAGTGCTTATTCCACATTGTTACACCAGGACTTCATGATAGAATTAGGGAAGAAGTATTAAAATGTACTGATTACATGAATGTGAAAGTCAAAAAATAAATTAAGAGCTTTAAATTGTGGCTATTATTACATAAAAACTATCAGAGAAATTAAATTGTAATTATAAATTATCCTTCAGCCATTGAAAAAAATTAAGAATATGTCATTAGAGTGGTCATGTTTAAGAAAAAATATAAAGGAAACTATTAAGGTTAATCAGGTATTTACTCATTTTCTTCATTTTTTTTTTTTCAGACATTACCCTGAGAATAATATGGACTTCTATGATAAAATAGTACATTTCATGGCAAGTCCTGGACTTTTAAAACTCTCTTCAGTATACATTCTAGAACTCAGTCTGGAAAAGACTTAAATAAAAAAGGAAATATTTAATAATGTTAATTTATAGTTCAATAGTCCACACTCAGTCTTCCTTTCTGTCTTTCTCTCTCTCTCTTTCTTTCTTTCCTTCCGTTCTTTTTTTTTCTCACAGTTACAGGGTTTATTAGTGAAGTTAGCATGTTACAATTTGGGGACAGAAGTGCTCAGGGCATAGTTTCCATCAACTACTGATAAATGCTCACAGGACGTACCAAACTACTATAAACCTCAGCTTGAAGTCATTGGACTCTAGCTCCCTATGTCAGCAAACCTAACTTCCCCACTTAAGTGCCTAGAGGCACACTACTCTACAAGCAAGCCTCCTGTCCAATGTCACTCAGCTTTACTTGTTTCTTGGCCTAGAAAGCCCACCACTCAGTCTCCTGCTCTGGTTCTTGTTTTTGCTTCAGCTGCTTCTCTGCCTCTCCTCCAGAGTAACAGCTTTCTGTCCCTGGATTGAGGAGCTTCAATGTACAGGAATCTTAGGGTCAAAAGGATATGTACCACTACTGGCTCTTCCTCTTTGATTATAATGAGATTCTCCCTCCGACTTCTGAGATGGCTCATTTAATACCCATGCTACGATTTCAAGTTTACACAATTACAATTAACTCTGTTAGTATCCACAGCTGAATCATGGCAGGGTATCAAAGTATTCTCCCACCTTCCCCTTTTTTTAGGGGGCATAGTGCTGGGGGATATACACAAGAACACTCAGGAATATGTAATCATTTAAACAACCAAAGAACACATTCTGCAAATCTTCCTGCCTCATGGCTTCTACCACTCAGTCTTTCTCTGTCCATGAGTCTAGAGCCCTCAGCTGCTCTCTCTCTCTCCAAATCCTAATCTCTGCCTCCATCTTTGGTACTGCTGCTTCTCTGGATAGGGTCCCACATTCCGATTATGCTCTTCTCCCTTGATGGTCCTAGAGTCCTCTGTTCCTGGACTGTAAGATTAACTACTCCCCACTTTTTGTTACAGAACTTCTACCTTTACTGTTGTGACAGTCACAATTAGTCATGATAACAATTTCTCACTGTTGAATCATAAAAATCTTATCCCCATCTTTTTTACCAGACCCATTTAGACAAGATGAAAACTATTCAGTGGAGACTCTACCTTGCCCCTCACAATCTGAAACTTAACTCCCTCTTGAAAATGTGTAAGCCAATCACTTCGTGTCTTTATCACCCCCTCATTTTAGGTAGTCAATATCTAAATTGCTCATCTCTATCACCCTGTATTTTTGTTTGAAGTCCTGGTGTGGTGCTGTGGGTTAATGTACCAGACTGCAAAGCTGTTTGAACTGCAAAGTCGGCGGTTCAAGCTCACCAGATGCTCCTCGGAAACCCTATACAGGGTCGCTATGGGTTGGAATCAACTTGACAGCACTTCACAACACAACAACAAATCACCCTGTATACAGAGGGGACAGGATTGATACTTGATGCTAACACTCATTCTTGGGGAAAATGTAAACTTAGGGGAAAAAGCTAAGTCTTAAGAAAGCAAAAATGCCTGAAAAACACAAAAGAACATTCAGTCTCCAGAAAAAAAAATTAATACATATATAAAACCATCACGGATATTCCTTAATTAAATGAAATATTGATTCCACTTCATTGAATAATAAGTTTATATATTTCAAGAATTTAAACAATAAATATTTTAACTATTATTCAAAGACATTCTCTCAGTTTTTAAGCCTAAATCACTTTTTTTTTTTTTTTTTACCAGGCTGGATGTTTTCTCTTATGATGGTTACATGGTTATCTCGATCTGGTCTTGTGTGTTCATGCCAAAAGCCTATCACATGGCCCAATTCATGAACAACAATTCCAAATTTATCACAGTTTTTGCCAATAGATATCGCTTGAGGTCCATTTCCCCGACGGCCTACGTAAGAACAGCATCTGGAATAGAACAGAAAGTAGAGATGATGATGGAAAGGGTGATGCTGGGTGAATTAAAATCTGGTGAAACTTTTGTACAGATTTTCCATAAACTATAAGATCTAACACACGCAGAGGTACAGCAGACTTTCATTAATAAAGATGTTATATTCTACTATCCTAATAAGATTGTGTGCAATAGTGGGCACTAAATATCTGGCCTTGAATAGCTGGGAATCATAGTGCACATTACACTGCCAAACAGCTGTTATTCAACAAATTAAAATTTTAAATTGCCAAAAATTATTTTCTCAAGTCCTTAAAAGGAATTTCATTGGTTCAATACCCAGAATATGCATATTTGAACAGCATATTTTAATGTCATTAAATATGAATACTTCACCTACTTTTTTTATTTTTCAAATATAGTGATTTTTATTGCTTTAAACTCCTGAGCATTACAACATGCAACAGAAGTTAGATGAACTAATGTGTGCTAATTGTTTATGAATCTATTGTAACAGTTAATGAATGTTAATTAGTCAACAACATAAAGAAGAGAGAGGAACTAGATGAGAAAATGAGTGAATAGTGTTTTGGTTCATTTTATATATATATATATGATTTTTTAATAGAATTTGTTAAATACATTGTTGTTGTTGTTCTTATATACCATTGAGTTGATTCTAAGTAATAGAGACCCTGTATAGGGTTTCCAGGCATCCTGGCATGGTGCTGTGGTTTAATGCACCAGACTGCAAAGCCGTTTGAACTGCAAGGTCGGCGGTTCAAGCTCACCAGCAGCTCCTCAGAAAAATAAAGAGTCCCTATGGTCCAAATCAATCATGGGAATGACATATAACCTGGCAGCCTTTATTTCCATTGTGCATACAACCTTGCTTGTTGAATGTGAAGAAGACTTAAAATATTTACTTATGAAAATCAAATAGCACTGCCTTTGGTATGGATTGAATCTCAATATAAAGAAAACAAAAATCCTCACCACTGGACCAATAAACAATATTCTTATCAATGGAGAAAAGATTGAAGTTGTCAAGGACTTCATTCTTCTTGGATCAACTATCAACACTTACAGAAGCAGCAGTCAAGAGATCAGACAACGTACTGCATTAGGCAAATCTGCTGCACAGGAACTTTTTAAAGTGTTGAAGAGCAAAGATGTCAGCTTGAGGACTAAGGTGCGCCTGACCCAAGCTATTGTATTTTCAGTAACCTTATATGGATGTAAAAGCTGGACAATGAATAAGGAAGATCGTAGAAGAATTGATGCCTTTGAGTTGTGGTGTTGGAAGAGAATACTGAAAGTGCCATGGGCTGCCAAAAGAACCAATAGATCTGTTTTGGAAAAGTGCAGCCAGAGTGCTCCTTAGAGGCCAAAATGGCCAAACTTCGTCTCTCTTATTTCAGACATATTGTCAGGAGGGAACAGTCGCTAGAGAAGGATATCATGCTTGGTAAGATGGAAGGTCAGAGAAAAAGAGGAAGACCCCCCAATGAGATGGATTGACCGGGTGGCAGCATTGATGGACTCAAGTGTGGCAACAGTAGTGAGGTTGGCCCAGGATCGGACATTATTTCGTTCTGCTGTGCATAGGGTCGCTATGAGTCGGTTCCAACTGTATGGCACCTAACAACAACAACAACAACAACATGGGTCGGAACCAATTCAACGGCACTTAACAACAACATAGGGTTTCCAAGGAGCAGCTGATTAGTTTGAAGTACGACTTTGTGGTTAAACTGACCTCTGGTTCAGTGTTTTATCCCATAGTACCACACCAGGATATACATACATAGTCATTTACTACATACTCAAAGAGTAAAATACTGGATGTAGAAAAGATCAAAATTTGTGAATTTTGGAGAGCAGTAAATTTACATATTTAGTATCTTAAAACAAAAATAATAAAATTGAATATCTGATGATTATAGAGTACTTGATAGGTGAATTCTGAGAACAAAGTACTCTGCAGTCAAGAAACACAGTCAACTTATTTCATCAAAAATGCCCTTTATATCACATTCACTTCCACAGAAATTTCCTACAAATAAAACAGAGTTTCATAATGAACAGGAAAAATATATTTCACAATGTCTTATTCATAGAAATAATTTTACAATAGTACTATACAAGAAGAAAAATGTGGTGACTTCATTCTTGTCTTATTTAAGGGTCTTAGGAATGGAAGAGACATGGGTGCTTAGATGAAAACACAGTTGAATGTATGTACATACAAGTTGAATGATGATGCATGGAGGAGATTGTAATCATTACAATGAAACAAAATACAATGTGTGTAAAACCGATGTTCTCCCATGTAAATTATCACTCAATTCACAATAAAAACTTAAAAAAAAATAGACATGGGATGACAGGTAAACTATGTGCACATGTATGTAAACACACAGGTTATATGCTAAATCCCAAAGCTCTTGAGACTACAGGATAAAGACTCGATTATCTAATCCAACTGCATAACACACACAAAGATACTTTGCACAATGTTGGAAATTGAAAGTGATTATCATGTATAGAAGAAAAATGTAAACCACAGGAGCAGAACTGAGGTGAGCTGTTGTCTTTCACCCCTATGACTACCACACATAGCATCATAGAATAGGAACCCACATATGTCTAAAAGGGGAAGTACTCATCCTTCCAAAATTTCTGTCTCAGGACATATATCTTTCTGTCTCACACCACCTATCAGGCCTCTCTGGATAGGCCCCTTTTGGCTCCCTTTAAAAAAGACCTCCTCTTGGCCCCCTTTAGACAGACCTCTCTCAGCCCCTATTAGAAAGTCCTCCTTGTGGCCGCCTTTGGAAAGATCTTCCACTGCAGCGGTCTGAAAGGCACCATAAAGAGGCCTTCCCAAAGGGGGATAGAGAGGTCAGAGGTTGCATTCCCTTTGCAGGACACCCAGCTACGCTGATGACCTCTACCCTATGTGCTGACTCTGGCCATCACTGCCATCTTCTCTGCAGCTAACTCTGGCCACTGTATGCCCTATTGCTGGACAGTTTCTAGGTTTCTGTGTTACGGACAATTTCTTATCACTTGGCTTCTTGCTGTTACACTGTTTCTCATCTCTTGGCTTCTTGCTGCTGTTATCTTAGTGTGCAGATTGATCATCTGAGGGAATGTTACCAGTCCAGCATTATAGTAATTTCACTCAGGTTTAGGATGTTCTCAGATTATGGACCTGGGGAAAAAAGGACAGCATTTCCCTCTAAGCTTCTATGGATCCGGAGGTCCCTAAATCACTGTCAGATTGGCTTTTTATATAAGAAAACTTGATGGAAATTTCAAAACATGGCTTTCAAAGTAGAATTATGAACCAACCAATCGCATAGATGGATCAGAAACCAACCAATCCTGTTGGTAGCATTGCAAATTACTTCTCTGTATAGAAAACTGAGCAAGCTTTGCAAGTTGGTTAGGTAGACAGCAGAGTCCAATTATTTGGCATCTTGCAACTGATCAGTCATTTTTAGAGAACTACAAACTCAGGCCCAGAAAGCTCAGATAAAAGAAACCCATTGTTCCACACAACAGTGTAATATGCAACAATTAAAAAAAAAAAAAGCAAGGCTTAAACATGTCCAAATATTACCTTATTTTCTAATGTCATCCAAATTTAATGCCATTTTCTTGATAAGCCTTTTCAATTTTTGCTTCTAATTTGTATATCACTTTTAAAGTTTGGCACTATACACCCTGCAGATAAAAATGTCCCCTATATATGTAAGGAATCTGTATCTTTCCCTAAACCATAAAAGGTAATCAGGTACTGCCTAGGGATGGCAATCCAAAGCACCTTTGAAACTTGCCTGTCACTTAATCCAACAGGACAGCTGTAAAATTGTAATTGGTTCTACCTTTTCAACTTCTTTACTTTAAACACACATACTTCCAATTAGTTAAGTCAATGACCAGGTGTTTTTCCATTTAAATGACTCAATTCAATTTTTTTATTTAAAGATTTTTCCATAACAAACTCCTCAGAGAGATCATTATATTTAAGCTACACCAGGAAAATATAAGACACTTGAGGACAGTAGTCTATGTCTCTTTTGTTCACTGATGAATAGCAAGTACCTAGAGCAGTACCTACCTACTACAGAATAGGAATTCAGTAACTATTTGTTGTATGAATAAATTATCTATGTATACTCACTGTTCCAAATACTCTCTGAACGCAGCCTTAAATGTACTGCAGATTTCAACCCCACAATTTTCATTCTAGATCTTCAGTACTAATCACTATATGTAGCAATGATCAATATTCTCTCCTCATTCAATGATTCTTCATCTGGTTTTTCAGACACAGCATTACTCTTGATTGTCAACTATCTTATTGGTTTCTTTTCTGAATCCTCTGTTTACTTTTCTGCATCATTTGCAACTTTATTATTTTTCTTCCTACCAAAAAAGCCTGATGAATAATAGGTACATAATAAATCCTTATTAAGGTGGAAAATACAATATACTTGATGATATAGTTGTCGTTTTAAGGGTCTATTGAACTGATTTTAACTCATAGTGACCTGCCTCATAGAGTTATCTAGGCTGTAATCTTTACAGGAGCAGAACACCAGATGTTTCTTTCACAGTGCCAAGGAGTAGACTTGAGTAGCCAGCATCTGATAGCAGCCAATTTCTAACCCATTGTGATAAAAGGGCTATTTAGATGATATATTAGATTCCCTAGTTACAATTGCAAATTACAAATATGAAGAAGAATCTGTTATCCCTTTTTTTAAAAAAATTGCAAGAGCTCTATGATGCAAAATTGACTGGATAAATAAAAATGATAGAAGTGATAATAACTGAGAAATAGTATTTGCCTATCAGATTAAAGGTACAAAAAGAACTGACATTTATTGCCATCAATATTAATGAAACCACCTTGCAGCCTCTCAAAATTCAATGCCAAATTATACTGTTGATGTTATTAACACCATCGAGTAATTTCCAACTCATAGCGACTTTGTTTAGG